AGACAATTGTAGGAATATTGTTTTATTTTAATTCTGTGACAGTGGAAACTAAACAGGATGACATTCAAAAAATAAGCAAAGGACAAGAGAATAGCAATCTCAATTGCCCCATTTTCCTGCATGATAAAAAAAATTGATAAGGTAAGAGCATAAAGAAAAACAAACATCAATGTTGCAATCCTGAGGGAATAGGGCAAGGGCATAGGGCAAAATTCAGAAGGGTCTCCATAATCCACTGTGGCAGGCAGGTGCTACATGGGGGCCTACCTGTACCAGAGGAAGCCCAGGACACTGGTTTCTGCTGGGAGGAGACACTGGAAAATATAGTGACGAACCTGGAATTTAAGGGAATTAAATGTTAGAAAACATTAAAAGAGGATAAATGGGATCCCAAACTACCATCCATAAACCCCTTTTGTGAAACTTTTGGGGGTTGATCATAAATTTCCCCAATGTTTCCAAACCCTAGTGATAGTAACAGTAAAGTGAAAAAACATTACATTTCAGTTCAAAAGGCATGAACAACACAAATAGGAGAAAAATTAGTCAATCCTCAAATTGGAATATTCTTTAAATCAACTCATACCTTCCATTTAGAAATGCTAACATCAGACTGAAGAACTGGTCAAGATTAAAGGAGTCTCAAGAGCACAGACAAATAGAATGCATGATGTTGAACTGGTTTCTGCTTCAGAATCTTTTTTTATAGAGAACATTATTGTTCAACAGGCAAAATTTGAATAATGATTATATGTTTGTATATATTGTTAAGAGTATTGATTATGATAAATGTGCCATGGTTATGCAGAAGTATGCGCTGGTCCTTAGCAACTGGATGCTGAAGGATTTAAGAGAAAAGGATCATAATGTCTTTAATTTACTCTCTCATGTTTCAGTGAGTACATAAAATAGACAATGGGGCAAAATACGAACAATTTGTTAATATAGGTGAAGGGAATAGGTCTTCATTCTACTGCTCGTAAAATTTTTCTGTTAATTTGAAATTATTTCCAAGTAATGAGTTAAAAAAAAAAAAAGCATAACATTCACCTTATGGCTAACTGTAATAGATTTTGAACCTGTTTCATCTGTGAAATAGAAATAATTTGCTACTTGTATTTCACAGGGAAATCGTAGGGATTACTAGGATATCAGGGGTTCACAAAGCACTGTTTACTTCTTCTAAGATTTGGACAAATATTTTATGAAGAGAACAGAGTGACTTTCAACCCAGCAACACTTTTATCACAAATGGCATTTATTTGGAGTTTAGATAATTAAAAACCCTATGTTATTTTCATCGATTATAATACAACTATGTTTCCATTAAAGAATGCCCTGGAAATGAAGGTTTTGTCTATAACCAAAATTAAACAGTCCTAAGAACAAGCAAAGTGTCTATATAAGCATGTGACTTTAGGTACTTAATGCTTGCAACTTTATGGCCATGGTGCTGTAGTGCTGTTATCCTTGAGAACTTTTCCACCTTTTGCATTTTAATTAAAAGTAAACTGAATCTATTAGTAAAGATTCTGAAATCTGGAGATGTTCATTTTGATGTAAAGAACTTTCAAGTCTCCTCTGGGAATGAGTTACTCTGCTATGCCCTTGGAGTGCAATGACAAGTTCTCTACTCTTTCTTCTAGCTCGGTACCGCTTCCTGTACTCAACATTGCCCAGCTGTTGTTGTTTTTTTTACTTTAACATGTATTAAAACAACAACATTTTATTGAGTCATGTATTTACCCCTCTTTTTCATACATGGCAAAAATTGAATCAGTTATGTCAACCACTTTTATTATACTAGTACACATATGAGAATCAATTGACTCATTCCTGCAATAGTAGGTCAAAATCAGTGAGAAACTTTTTGGAATAATAATTTGCATGTCCTGACCTCCTTAAGCATCACCTGGTTAAATCTTCCTCCAGAACAAAACTTCTCAAATAGAAATACCAAAAATTACTATCACTTTAATCAATATCAAATTCAATGACATTTCTTTAATCTATATCCTTATATTTTAATCTGTGAAGTGATTGACTGAACATGTCACTCCAATTCTTTTTTATTTTTGCAGTTTTTGGCTGGGGCTGGGTTTGAACCCACCACCTCCCGAATATGGAGCCGGTGCCCTACTCCTTTGAGCCACAGGTGCCGCCCGTCACTCCAATTCTTTATAACTTTTCTCTCTTATGACCTTCATGAGTGCGTGTGTTATTTGCAATGAATACTAATAGTGTATTTATAATGTGCATAATGTACATATAATAAATACTAATTAAATATTAATATTCTGATCTCCTTGATACTATTTCTGTAAAATAAGTGGAGGGAGATCACATCCAGATAAGTCATCTCAAGACGACTTCAGATGTATCTATCTTCAGACTCATCTTTCCTCTTAAGCACCATGTAGATAGTTGCAAATTGCCTGCATCGTATCGCTCCCTATAGTGTACACAGTCTGTTATATCACGTGATTGGTACATAGTGTGCCAGAACCTCCAGTTATCCATTTCCAAATTCAAACTTCCTTCACACAAGCTTGTTTTCACCTACATGTTATGGACCAGTGGGAAAAGGAAAGAAGAGGCATCGTAGTATGATGTTAGAAAGATTATAGGAATGTCATAACCTAATTATAGCCTTAGAAGATGGGAAGGGGGTGGGAGGGGGAGGTGAGGGTGGATGAGGAGAGGGAGAGTGATTGGTGGGGTCACCTCTATGGTTTATCTTACAAGGGTACAAGTGAATTTTTCTAAAAGCAGAGTATGAACATTTTAACTCAATAACTAAGAAAATGACATGAAGGTTATGTTAACCAGTTTGATGAGAGTATTTCAAAACGTATATGAAAACAGCACATAGTACCCCATGATTGCATTAATGTACACAGTTATGCTATAAGAAATAAAAAAAAGAAAGATATTTCCACTTAACAAGAATAACTTAACAGTATTGTTCTACAGTAGAGAAAAACTGCGTACCTCTTACAGAAACTTAACTGGGATACCTGTGAACAAACGGATTTACAAGTGAGGAAAGCAGAAACGCAGGATGGAAGCAGGAACAGGGAGAGAGTCCAGCACAGATTTGAGTGTTTAGCATGACAGTAAAACATATGCCCTTTTACTTATTCTTCACTAGCATAGCAAGCTCTTCACATGCATATCACTTAAAAAATCATTTTTAAGTTCTTAGGATAAATTGATCTATCAAGAACATTTGGGGAAATATGTAGCCATAATAAAATCTGGCTTAAACTATTTATAACAGTATGTATTACTGTTTACAAATTTGCCCAAACCTCCCGTAGTAGAAAGAGCTAAATTAAAATTAAAGTTTAAATAATATTTTTTAGCTTGAAAGTTACCCCATACTGTTAGATGATGAAAGGATGTAGAAATGAATAACTAAAAACTTTTCCATCAGGTTTGTATAATCAAATATTTTATACTCTAGGTAATCTTAATATTGCTTAGTCATTGTAAATCAGGTTATTCTTGAGATTTTGTTTGAGACAAGGCAACATGGTCTTCTATTTACAAATGTGATTTAGTCTCATGAGTGGGTAATCTTGCTAAATATTGTCAGGTTAATTGAAATTGATTTGTGTTTACTAAACATAGTGAATACTAATCAAATATTAAGCATCAAAGTGTTTGAGGTACATTGAAACTTTTGACAGACACTGTTAGTGATGCATGCAGAGGTCAATATTCTTTTTCAGCCTTTTTTCCCCCCAAATAAATGCTAAGAGAACGTAAGGAGAAATGACCTGCATTTCCTTTATGACATTTTATGACTTGGAGATATCTGGGAGAATTTGGGATAGGCTTGGCTGGGGGATTATTTTTGTTTTCCTTTCATTGCTATAAATAGCACGTTTGCTTTTCTTTCTGCTTAATTCCATTCCGGGTTTGCTAGTCTCTACTACTCATAGCATCACTGAGCTCCACACAATAGCTTTTATAGGAGACAAACATCACCAGGCAATTTGAAAAGCAGGTTGAAAATAAAGTCTGATAGCTCACATGCCCTGGCCTGGTGACTGGGCTCGCTTCTGAGTTCAGCTTACACCAAATGTGGTGGATGTGCCTCGGCTCTGGGAGGCTTAAAGAAACGTATCTCCTAATACAAAAATAAACTCACCATAATCATTCATTTTGGGGACATTTTACAGTTGTTGGTTAACTTGCTCCCTTATGCCCTGCAATATTCATTAGCAGATTTCTCTGTTTATGAGTGATATTACATGAAAATGGTTATGGGAAGCTAACAGATGTAATCACTGAAATAAATTAGGAAGAAAAGTTCTGTTTTTTACAGATGGCTCCATCCAAAATGCTTCCCTCCTCCCTTCACTTTAACATGCAGCTTTCTTTCAACAGAAAACTTTTCTTTACTGACTACGGGAATGTCGCCAAAGTGGAGCGATGTGACATGGATGGGATGAACAGAACAAGGATAATTGATTCAAAGACGGAGCAGCCAGCTGCACTGGCACTAGACCTCGTCAACAAACTGGTTTACTGGGTGGATCTTTACTTGGACTATGTGGGAGTAGTGGACTACCAAGGACAAAACAGACATACCGTCCTTCAAGGCAGACAAGTAAGTACCATTCTGTTAGAAAATGCAGCTAAGGTGATAAATTAATGGTATGATACCGAGAAGACAACCAAAATTTGCAATGTTAAAAATTCCTTATGAAGTCAAGCTGCAATGGGCCAACAGATTTCCTAATTGGAAAGTGATTTTTTTTAACAGTGATATGATATTTTCATGCTATTGGAAATGTTTCTTGCTCCTTCTCCTTTCTATTTAAAACAGAACAAACAAACAAAAACAGCAACAAAGGCAAAAATGCTACATTAGCAAGAAAGAAAAGTAATAAAATAGGACAGATGTATGACCTACTTACTAAAAGCTAACATAAGTAGTTCATTCATAAGAAACTGAATTACCATGTGTCTCATGGGGCATTGGAAATGTTTTGCTAACAAAAGCAAACACTTGCTCACAAAAGTATCTTTATTATTTTAATGGGTTCCATTACATTTTGCCTTCTGATGTGTTCAAGTACTTCCTAAAATAAGAATTCTGTGAAAGTCAACGAGGTCAAAACTTTTCCCACTTGTGTTCGTTTTTATTACAGCTGCTGAATTACAAGGTTTTTCAAAGAGCATTTCACTCAGCATATCAAACATACCTAACTGAGATGTTAAGTAGAAACAAGCTTTGTTCACTAGTACAAATTTTAAAATTCATTTGTATCTCACTGATTGTACTAATTTCAAGTGGGAGTCTTCGTCTGTGGAACTGAAATGTCTATAAATCTCTTCGGTTTGTTTTGGAATGCAAAATAGGTATATTCTGTAATTATCTCTTAAAGTTACTTTACCTTTCCAATCAGCTTTTAAAATGAAATCCTTTCTCCCTCACAGATAAACAAATGCACTAATCTGAATGGATTTAAAAAAATTAAAAAGTAGACTGTCCAGTGTTTAAAGTTGGAGCCAGCCACGTGTCTCTCACCTTCAAATGTCCTATAGAACTTGATTTGGGGGGTAGGTTTTAGTTATCATTTTTAGAGGTCATGATCACCAAGATGATTATGATGGATTTTTTTTTTTGAAATTTTAAAAATGAAACCTATAACAAAGATAAAGATTTCAAATGATTTTCCCATGACTACTTTAAAAGTTTTATAATGTCTGACTGAAGTTTTAAATGATCCTTTTTTTTTTCATTTCTGTGGCCTGTATTTTGCCGGTTCCCCAAACATATGCTAAATCTGTCAGTAAATAATCAAAAATAGATACAGTTTTGAAGTATTTGGGCTGTAGGCAGAATGGTTTAACTACCACTCCAAACTTCTCCCACATCTGCTGTGAGTAGTTAGCAGAGGTGCTTATTTTATGAGAAACAGACCTTTTTGAAGGAAGGTAAGGAGGTTATGAGTGAAATTTTTTTCTTTACTGTGTAAGTGTGTTTTTTACCATGATAAATTCCTTGGTTTTTCTCCTGGAATATGAATTGGCGCTTATAAACACAACAATGTGCCTGCCTCATAACCACAAACTTCCGAGTGGGAGGCCCCAAACATTGAGCAAAACATGCATGAGATTAATGGCAAGGGAAGAGCTCAGCCTCCCTGTAAGTTGTGCAGTAGAAAAATATTACCAAAGTTAACGTTGCACCACGGGTATATTTAGTGGATATGATGTCAACTCTGTGGAAAATAACATTCATGAATACATACAGGGCACAACCACACCCACTGGCTTTGAACTAACATGTATGTAGAAACAGACTATTTGGGCTGTACCATGGAGTAAATATATTAATTTCTATCTATTATTTTCAGCCTAGACATGAAAGAAATGAGAAATCACTCAAAAATAACATGTAAAACCACACATCTTTTACTCGCATCACATCTAAAGAGGACTAGAAGTAGATATACTGAGTCCTACACGTCAGGAAGGTAGCAAAGGATGTGCGTCTGCTTAAACTACAGAACTGGAAAGACTTTCTGTATAAATTGAAAATTTTGTGATTTCCTTCTGTTAGAATTTTTACCATATATTTTAATCTAGTTCTCTTAACCACACACACACACACACACACTAACATAAATAGTTATGTAGTGACACACAAAGTACAGAATATAATTTCAAAGAGTAGTAACAAAAGGATTTTCATCAAAACCTCTACAGCAAATCAATTGACAGCTCTACCCTAACCTGGGTCCAGAATCATTTTGAATCAAGTGACAGAGGACCCAAAGGCAACGTGCCTAGCATGTGCCTTGTATCTGAAATTCAGTGTACTCACTCTTTCTTCTGCTCTGCTGGAAGCTTTCCCTGACTGTAAGATCTCCATTTCTCTCCACAATCTCTAAGACCTTTGCCAAGCAAAAGAGTTAGATTGTTAATTTAAGTGTATTGAGAGCAGTAAACATCATCATTCTCAGAGCAAACAGCTCCACTTTCCATTAAAATCGGCTTTGGAAATCATGCAGTATCAGAGTAAAATGTTGACATTTTATTCATAATGATTGCAAATATGTGATTTCATATATTAATTTCCACACTGGAGCAAGTATTAGTCTAAACATAACTTGTGACAAAAACATGGATTTTTAATGTATAAAACAAATTTCAAAGGTACTTTCTCATTATCTTTTTTTCATAGGCAGTGCTATACATTTGCAGCTTCCCCACATCCAGGACTACGTGGACAAGTAGTCCATAAAAATATCTCAAATTATATATAACAGCACCATAAGCATATTATTAAATATGCTTGCAAGTCTGGTTCTCACTTGCCTTGGAATAATAAGTACTAAAGATGTTTTCTTAATGAAACATGAATAAATTTCTCTCCCACACATTTGGAACGGCTTTACCCACTACTGCATAATGTTTTCTTCTACAGAAGAAAAATTTAAATTAGTGAAATGTTGAATTCTTTGACAGAAAGTAAATGATAACATTCTTGTGACTCTCTTACTATTGCCATTTTCCACACTAGTAAATAGCAATCAGTTTTTCTTCCAAGTTGAAAGCTGTATAATTAAAAATCACAGTTATTTTTCAAACCTCTTTATAGATCAGACATCTCTACGGTATAACTGTGTTTGAAGACTATTTGTATGCAACCAATTCTGATAATTTCAATATCATAAGGATAAACCGATTTAATGGCACTGATGTTCATTCATTAATTAAAATGGAAAATGCTCGAGGAATTCGAATTTATCAAAAAAGAACTCAACCAACAGGTAAGTTGTAAGACTTCTTTACAACTTTCATGATGGTAGATTGAATGGGAATGTAGTCCTTGTGCTTTTGTATAGTGTTAAAATGAGTGAATCACAAATTCTCTGTTTTGACAGCAAAAGTGTGCAAGTCTGCTTGTTAAATGGTACAGAGCTCCCCTCACAAGTCTAAGTGACAGTTCCTAGTGAATCATGACAGTTGTTCAGTTCCTAGTGAATCGTTTCTACAACGATAGAATTGAAATGATAGCTAGATTTAAGTTCAGGAAGAAACTGGGGATTATGATGTATGAAAACCCAGAAGTTGAAGTTTGGGGTTTTGGGGTCATTTTGAGGACAAATTTCAAATCAAATGACTGCTTCGAAATATCCATCAGTTA